TATATAGGCTGCCGTAATTAGCGCATTCACGATGCATCAGTGGCGATGCACGTAGCCATGCCTCTAGCGTTGTTCATGGTGGATTGGCGGCGCTTATCGGCCCGGTGTTAAGCAACTAGCGCTTAGGGCTAGAGCCTCCTAACGTGTCCCGCACAACGACGAGGCCTCCAACATGTTAGAACATGCTAAAAGGGAGACAGCTTCAACCATTGCTTGCTTCATCTTCTAATCGACAAAGCTAACTAACTATCTTGGATTTGTTAAAATCACTGATGGTTTGTTAAGTTCCACTCTCTTGTTAGCTTCATTCATTCGCTTTACTCTATTCAGTCTATTTGCCACTATTTGAAATCTCTGTAGGCTCCCGCTAACTACCCCACCATCGATAGCGACAGCATTATTGCTAAAGCCATCCTCTATCAAAGCGACCACAGACCTGGATCGTGGGAGAATATAAATACAGAGAAAAGGAATATTCGCACCTACTCTGTGGAGTCGACCTTCGCTTCACTGCTCTAAATTTTATTTTAGTTGCCTCTGCACCCAACAGCAGAGGGCCCTAGTCCTGCCCAATATACCCCAGTGGTCACTTTGGCTTACAGACCTAGACGTCTCCTCTTTTAAGCAGCATACGATAACCAATGATCCAAGCCCGTTCTTATACTATCTCACGAGGCCCTACTTACGGCTAGCAGTTTTTGAACATGGGGAAGACACAGGCCCTTCTAAATTGGTAAGCATTCTACACACGACCACGAAGTTTCGGATGTATTCTAATATATACCTTCAGGTATGCGAGTCTGAAGTCTCGAAATGTCGACCTGGTAGGAGACTATGCAGGCGACGAACTGTTTTTCATCGAAGGTGACTCACTGCTCGCCCACACTTTCGCGGACGAGAAACTGGATTTGAACCCTGGCTTCCAGCTGTTGCATGCTACATACATGATAGAGAATTTCCTGCGAGGATTGCACCAGCGGAAATGTACTTTCCATATCGTCTTTTTTGAGGAACATGCAAAACTATGCATTCCACCTAATATGCCAGATGACCTTCATCCCAGGTGTCTCCTAGCCCGGGAAGCTATGATCCAACACTTGCAGAGCAATGTTGGCACACAAGCTCCGCCTATTGAGATTAAAGTCTTTGACTCCTATGAAGCCAACGATTTTAAGAGCTACCTGGCCGCTTCTGGAGCGTACTTCATCATGTGTCATGATGGTGCCTTTGCCAATATTGATTCGGGAGATGATTCTGTGGCCAGCTCCGACGATGAAGATGGCTTCTCTGATGGAAATTCAGGAATGTCTGATGACAACGATGACCAGGATAGCTACTACACTTCCGATGAAGATATGTCGGTGGTTTCAAGCGATGGTACCCGTCATGCGATCGGTTTTCGATCTATGATAAATTGGTTCATTTGCCTTGGCTACAATGTTGGCCTCCTTAATAGCTTGGAATGCCGGGATACCAAGGTACAGTAACTTTTCTCTTCCACTCTTACTGATAATTTGCGGATCAGAGAACTGACATATAACGACGGACAGGTAATGGCGATGATTATGGAAGGCACTGCAAAAGGTGCTCTAGAGGTGTCCCTACATACCTTCATTACTAATAAGAATCAAACCAATAGTCCTGACATGGAGCATGTTGACGACGAAGAGTCTGATTCAGGATCAGAGCCTGACTCTGACAGCTTAGACGATACTGATACTAACGAGATAACCACCAAGGAATTTACGAAATTGGATTTAAATGCGAGTAGCTTCCTTGAAGCCAATGCAGCAAGTAACCCACAGGATTTGAAATTCTTACAAGAATTTCGGGATACCTTGACGACCTCCGCTTGTCAAGATCTAACCCAAAGCGACCTCGCCGTCGTCATGACGCTGAGCCTCATGTACAAAAGCGGCGCCCCGGAAGGAAATAGTGCCACGGAATCAGAAGCAATGCTTTTACATACTGCCATTATACATGAGTGTCGTCTTTCTGATCGTGCCGTCAACCCAAAACCAAATAGCGGTGAAGATTTCTTCACAGCCTTTATTAGATCGGCCTATCTAGTGCTTAAATCTGATTCTTGGAAAGCAATTGTGGAAGATAGCTCATTGTATTGCGATTTGGCTGATCTGCTTGACGGCAGGATATTTTTCCATCTTTTGAGTGGAGGTATCTCTCAAGATATTTCCAAATCATCGGTTATTTCAAAGTTTGAGTCTCTCACGGCCTGGGTGGAGCAACTCTGTGGCATGCGCATTACGTCTGGATTATTAAACTCAGGTAATTTGAATCTTATCCACCTCTCTCCCCTTTACGGGTTTGGCATTGATGAACAGAAAATAAAGCACAATCAGATAAACCGAAGAAACCCAAGAACACCAAAGCAGCGGCCATTGGAAAAGAAATTTCCAGACCTGTACTCCCTTTCAGGCATCCTGTCTTCGATGCCCATCTGGGACCTGTCAGGCTTACAATAGACAAGTCCCATACACAAGGTATCACAAAAAAGACTTCCCGGATTTTCCAAGAGCTCAGCCATTGGCATAACCACCGTCGCCCACTTGGAGTCAAAATTACTGGCCCGAAAATGACAGAGAAGCAAGCATTCTTTGCTAACCGCCGCAATCAATTCTTCATGGCCGAGATGGCCGATTATGCGGCAAGCTTAACAAATGCGACAGGTGGCATACTAAAACCGGAGACAGTTTTCGTACAGTCTGGGAAAGATGAAAAACAGAAGAAGCCAGCAGCATCAAAGCCCACTATCGCTCCTCGTCCTAAGGTCAATGAGAAAAAGGGCCCGGCGAAGTCGAGCGGCAAAAGGAATCCCACGAAGGATCTCGCTACCGCCGCGAATGAGAAAAAGAAAAGGGAAATGATTGACAAGCAGCTACAGGCATGGGCCAAGGTGAAAGCCACTTTCGATAAGGAATCCGATTTGGCAATCCGGTTCACGAACGTCAAGAAATACTTGGCTGAACGTCCAAGTGACAGCCGCGTCACTCTAGAAGCTGAGGTTTCGACTTACATGCTGAGCATTTTGGTTCAGCTATGGATAAACAGATGCACCGCCGGTGAACGAGACAGGTCCCTCCACATTGCCGCATTTATTTGGGATATGGTTTGTCGGATTGCCAAGATCAAAGAAGGGGTCACCCCTGAGATTGCGGCATACGTTAAAGAAGCCGTCAAAGCCCTTCGGTTGCCAGATATAGATCTCGGCGTCCAACCCAGCCGGAAGTCGTCTCAGGCAACAGCAGAGTTTTCTCTGCTAGAGTCTGCTAAAAAAGGGACTCTGGATATCGGGTTGTCTCCAACGGAATTCCAACTTAGCCATGCTGCTCCTTTCTTTGATCGAAACATGGATTCCGCTCCTGATTCTCGTGTCCGTGATTTTGAGCCCGATGCGTGGCAGCGACAGGTGCTGGACGAGATTGACGGGAATAGAAGTTTGTTTGTGGTTGCACCCACTTCCGCTGGAAAAACATTTATTTCGTAAGTATATTTCCATCCAAGATGTTTGCTCCTGGTACATCTTTATGTCCGGTGTTTGCAGTATTAACACCATGATACAGTTTCTACGCGATGAAGAGAATTCTTGAAGATGATGACAACAGCGTCTTGGTATACGTCGCTCCAACGAAGGCCCTTGTTAATCAAGTCGCTGCCGAAATTCAAGCTCGGTTTTCGAAATCATTTAAACACGGCGGAAAGTCTGTATGGGGCATACACACCCGCGACTACCGCATCAACAACCCTACCGGCTGCCAGGTTCTAGTCACCGTTCCGCATATTCTACAGATCATGCTCCTTGCGCCAGCAAATGCCAGCTCATGGTCATCCCGAGTCAAGCGGATAATTTTCGACGAAATTCACTGCATCGGTCAAGTGGAAGAAGGTGTTGTATGGGAACAATTGCTGCTCCTTGCACCCTGCCCGATTATCGCTCTGTCTGCCACGGTCGGGAACCCGCAAGCATTCAGCAACTGGCTAAACATGACCCAGAAGGCGAATGGCATTGATCTCACGATGATTGAGCATCGGCATCGTTACTCTGATCTGAGGAAATACGTTTACAAACCGCCGAAAAAATTCCATTTCAATGGTTTACCAGACTCTGTACCGTTCGCCCCCACAAGCCTAGACAATGCATTCGGTATGGCATTTATGCACCCGGTAGCGTGCATAGTGGACCGTTTGAGAGGAATGCCAGAAGACCTGACTTTGGAAGCACGCGATTGCTGGTTGTTGTGGAATGCGATGAAGAAATACCAAACAGCAGACTTTCCTGTGCCTAAATCGCTTGACCCTGCTGTTGCCCTACCAGATATCATTCGCAAGGTTGACATAGTCAATTGGGAAGCAGAACTCAAACCGCTCTTGAAGAGTTGGATCGCGGATCCAAAATCACCCTTTGACTTGGTTCTGAAAGAGCTTGAATCTCCCGTGAGAAGTGCCCAACGGCCTGATATTCAGATCTCGTCTCGCAAGCCAAGAGAAGCTGAAAGCTCACCAACTGAGATACGTTACAACTACTTAGAGACAACACTTCCTCTCATCTGCTCACTACAGGAGCAAGGCGGTCTTCCAGCGCTGTTCTTCAATTATGATAGAAGCGGCTGCGAGGCGATTTGTGAGAAGGTACTAACAGAGCTTGAGGCAGCGGAAGAAAAATGGAAAGAATTGAACCCAGTTTGGAAAGCTAAAGTCGCTGCGTGGGAGGCCTGGAAAACTGCCAAAGAGAAGCAGGCCAAGAAAGCCGGCCCGGCTGATGCGAAGAAAGGCAAGAAGGGCAATGACCAGATGACTCGAGAAGAGCGCATGCGGGATACGGCAACGGCGGAACCCAGCGCTTTTGAATCCTTTGAACCTGATGCGCCATTGGATGGATTCCATCTCGCGGACGTCAAGAAGCTCACTCCCTCTGAATTTGAGGAACATGCTAAAGAGCTGAGGAGACGCTATGTCCCAGAACGACTGATTACAGCCTTGCGACGTGGCATCGGTGTTCATCACGCTGGTATGAACCGTAAATATCGTCAACTATGTGAGATACTCTTCCGAAAGGGGTATCTGCGGGTTGTGATAGCCACTGGCACCCTCGCACTTGGTATAAACATGCCTTGCAAGACTGTTGTCTTCTCCGGCGACTCTATCTTCCTCACCGCCCTTAACTTCCGCCAGGCTGCTGGTCGTGCTGGTCGTCGAGGCTTTGATGTGCTTGGAAATGTTGTCTTTCAGGCACTTCCCTATTCCAAGATCTGCCGGCTGCTCAGTTCAAGACTCCCTGGTCTCCACGGCCATTTCCCCATCACGACTAGTCTGGTTCTCCGCCTCTTCACATTGCTATATGAATCGAAGCAGGCACCTAACGCGGTAAAGATGATCAACTCCTTGCTATCGTGCCCGCACATTTACCTCGGTGGAGGGGAGGCGCGAGACTCTGTATTGCATCACCTACGATTCTCAATCGAGTTCTTACGGCGCAATCACCTTCTAGGTCCAGATGGCGCCCCTCTAAACTTCGCAGGATGCGTCTCTCATCTTTATTTCGTGGAAAACTCCAGTTTCGCCTTCCACTCCTTGCTGAAGGACGGTTACTTCCATAATTTATGCAGAGATCTGGACACCTCGCGTAAACAGAAAATCCTTACGCTGATGCTTATTATGTCCCATCTTTTTGGCCGCCGACATCTTCGGCCCTCTGTACTGGAACATCAGCAAAATGCTGTTAAAAAATCGACTTCGATTATTGTCCTTCCGCCCTTGCCTAAGAGAGCAGCCACGGTGCTACGTCGCAATAATAAGGAAATACTTAAGATATACAGCACCTACGTCAAAACGTTCGTGGACCAGCACATTACGGAGCCCGACCATAAGCTACCTTTGACTGGGATGAAGTGTGGCGGAGACGCTGCGGTCGAGCTGGGCAAAGGTACTCCTCCGTCACCTGCAAAGTATACATCAGCATTTTACGCTCTATCAGGACATCACGATGAGTGGAGTGACATATCCGACCTCTGTCAAAAAGTGCGTGGCGGCGTCTGGCTCGAGAAAGCTGTTGTTCCGTACTTGGGGCTCCCCGAAGAAGACAACTTACCCCTTAACGCGTACCTATACGACTTCTTCAAGCACGGCAACATTGACGCTATCGAGCGGGACAATGGCGTTCGCAAGGGCGACATCTGGTTCCTGTTGAACGACTTCTCCATGGTCCTTGCAACGATCGTGACTAGCCTTGAAAACTTCCTCAAACTTACGCCGGGGACGGATGCGGATGCGATTGATGTCATGGGTAGTGGTGAGATGTATGAAGGGGAGGTAGATGTCGGAGCTATGCAAGATGGTGGGCTTGATGGCATGGGAGAACTTGGGGACGTGGGCGTGGGCGTGTTGAATCGGCCGATAGTACCAACGACCGCTGCTTCCACTCCGGCCCCAACTACTGCCAGTAAACCGCGCAGGAAGAAGGTCGTGGACAGCTGGGAAGATGAGGATGTGGAGGACAGTGGTGACAATGATGGTAACGATGGTGCCTCCAAAGGGGGCGAATTTGGGGATGAGGATCCCGCGGCTCCGTGGGATGGGAAGGATCGTGGTGGGATCTTCAATGTGCTGAAGGGATTCAAGCTGTTGCGGGAGGAGTTCGATATGAAATTCAGGGAGATGTGGGCATAGTGTGTGCGTTGCCCGTTCGAGAACTTGATATAGTTTTTATTGTGCTTCCTGTGTATTGTTTGAGTCTTTTATTTTGTTTTTCTAGATGGGATAAATCTTCGAAAGAGCTGGGGCTACTTCTGTAACCGCCTACTACCTAGAATTGGTTTTGCTTGAAATTTGATACCACAATTCGAGGTACGGGGATCTCTAGACTATACAGGACTTTTCATGTTTTTGCTTGTCTGAAAAGATTTTGTCGGTCTAATTTATTTAATTACTAAAAAAGAAATGAGATAGTCTGCCAGTGCTAGCAGTATTCGATCTCTACTTGTTCATGGACATTTAGCCTTCATGCCATTGACCATAACTTGAGGGGGATGGAAATGTTGTTGGCATCTTTCGACGCGATGTGATGTGATGATGTGATACCGACGGGCGTTGGGGTTTCTATCACAGCGTAATTTTAATCTCGCAATCTTTTATAAAATGAAAATAATTCCACGCGTTTTCGTAGAGGAGGTAATAAGCATTTATTCATAGCCTTCACGTCCCCAAATCCGTATATCCTATTCTCAACGCAGACGAACTATCCTCGCTTATGTGTTTTAATATATATCCACACCTCGACGCCGGGTACTCCAACAGCTCAAGAACGCGGGGATCTGTCCTGTTTTTAAGATACATGCATATAGCCACACACTCCATATGCATCCTCGCATAAACCCAGCAGGACGGATCTTCGCACATCTTGCCTAGCCAAAAGGCCAGAATAAGAAGCGCCCTAGCTTCCCTATTCCGAACCAACGCGGTGAACTTGGGCTTCAGGGTCCCCATGAATGTGGCTAATTGTCATGAAGTTCTCTGGGTTGGTTTCCATGTCTAGAATGGGCATGAGGCTGCGGAGGGGCTCGTGGTAGGGGTTATTCTCATTGTTGCTGCCGTCGTTTATTTCACATAACTCTGCAAGCTCCGGGTGCAGCCCATCCCGACCGGTGCGACAGTCCCTATTTTCGAGAAAATGGTTATATGACTCCATAAACGGTACGAGCCAGATACTTTCTGAGAGATACGGCTGGGTGAAGCGCATTAGGCGCGAGAGGCCGGATTGCATTAGGAGCCAGTTTAGAGCCGAGGGGTCAGAGGAGAAGACGATAGAATCGTAAGGCGAGTAGTCTGCTTCCAATAGAGGAACATCAGCTAATAGCATGCACGTCGACATTATGCCGTCCATGTTGTCCTTGGTGATCTGGGAGTCCAGCTCCTTCTGGTAAAGACGAATCGCGTCTGAGAAATGGCCGGTTTCTCGAACTCTGTAGGAGGCAGAATTCGATAAGGTCCTTGCCAAATAAGCGTTGGAAAGGCCTAATATGGCATGCATAAGATACGGTGTCTGCGGTTACATGTAGATACTGCAGTCAGAATCTAGTTCTGCCCAGCATTGAATTGGGCTCCCCAGGCGAAATTTTGACATACCTGCAGCGCCACCCGGATCATATCCCCCTTGATAACCGTGGTGAAGCTTGGAGTCGCGGGCACTTTTCCGGAGAGCCCATTGATAAAGAGATACAGACACTCGTATGCCTGTGTGCGGGAAGGGCCCAACACCAATGTATTATCGGTATAGCACAAGAGTTGCTCAATCCTACAAGCCATGTCTCCCGCCGCCATAGCCTGACCGTGCCCATCCGGTGAGTTAGACATTGAAGAGCTGCGCCCAGACGCGGCCAATTGTTGCATATTAGGTGAGGTTTTGGGAGATGTGTAAACGCAATCTATGCCATAAGTCCCACATCTCCGGAATTGCAGCTTTGTCTCATCGCACTATTCCATCATTCAATTAGAAGAGGGGCAAAGCCGTGCCGTACCAGTTTACATGATACTATACCTTTATTCGTCGCTGCTTGCAGTTTACGCAACCAGTTCTGGATTTTCGATGAGACTTTCGTGGATGATAAACTGGTTCGTCCAGTTGGTCTCCGCAAGCCCGCGACGGTGCTTTTCGTGACGCCCTTGGTTGCGCCGGTGGATTCTTGAAGCGGAATACCACCTGCTTCCCGACGTTCTCCATTGTTTCTCGTCAAGAATGGGAAACGAACAATCAAGGTCAATGCCAATTTCCAGACGGTCGACAACACAGATGAATACACAGGGACAAGTTATAGACATCAGGGATAGCTACGCATTTGGGAATTGGGGGAAGACAAGCTAAATATATAACTTTATCAGAGCTCATAGACACGAGGCAGAGCCATCGGCTAGGAAGCATATTGCGTCACTGCTGACAGGCTGAAGGTGGGAGCTGTTGGAGAGGCTTTGGCTAGCTAGTAGGGATAGGGATCGGACCGAAGGCCACTTATAGGCGTCTGCGCTTGCATGGCTCGAGGGCTCCAATCCTCTGACTCGGGCTTGAGATCTCAGCTCTTGAAATACATGACACCTGTAAGAACAAGTTGCAGACAGCGCTATGCACAGACTATGCGTACATACCATACATAGATGGTTGTTGTGGTGGAGTTGGATGGAGGCTGGAGAGGAGACGCTAATCCTAAACAGGAATATAGGTCGTGTTCGCCTCATTCTTGGCATTCAGACTACTCCGTATTTTATATTAAATATTTGGAGGGAAACTTCACGCGCACCACCGCTATTCCTGTACAATTGTTGAATTGTTGTGGGCCTTGTGGCAGCATCCAACAGCGTGGACTGTTTCGATTTCCTTTATCGGAAGAACATGGTTGACTCCTACGCGATTCAAGCTTCTTAATTGCGGGAAGATAACTTACAACCACGCCACGGGTGGTGGGGGAAGCGAAGGCACGATAATCTTCATACATACCCCATCTCCCTATTTAATATTGGTTAAATACTCACTTGGCGGGCTGAAGTTTTCGCTTAAATTGGACAGGCTCAATTCGACACCACCTGAGTTTGCGGGCTGCTAATTTTGTTGGAAGGTATTCCCGAAGCAATCAATCAATCATTGAGCAGTCCTGCTGGAAGCCAAGGCCTCAGTTAGCGCTGGCCCCCATTGAAATTGTGTTTGTCTGGCTAGTTGGCCGAGGTTTGTTGTACAGCTAACAATCTCAACTTGCAGCCGGTTGAAATATAACACCCAATAATCAACCCCCCCCCCCCCCCCCAATAATAATGACCAGGGTTTGGGCAATTGTTCATCCAGTGGGCCACACGCCACAGCCCTTGCCCTTGCCTTCTGCAAAATATGTACTTGCAACCCTAGCGCGATCGACAACCAATCTCGCCAACGAATGGGAGCCGCCCAGAACCACACAAAAGGAAAGCCTCCCGTTACAAGCGCCTAATCCATATGGCACTAGGATGCCTATGGGGCGGCTCAGTGAGCCCCATGAAGAGAAATTACTCTGCGTATATCCAAGCGTGGAGCCTCGTCAAAATCGATTTTCACTTTCTTTCAGATAGAAACTTCCTGTCTTTCATTCCCCACCTTTCTCCTGTAAATTGATATTTCAGTATCATTATGAGCCAGCGAAATCCCGACTCAAATTCCGGCCTCGAAACCAACTATGCGGAGGGCATGCCCGGCGGGAATGCGGAGTATGTGCCTACTACTCCCCAGGGCCCGGAATCAAGATACCTTCAGCCAAAATGGGTAGCTGAGAATGAACCCTTTCACGAAGTTCATACAAAGCCGCCTTCGCCCTTTCGTTCTCGCCGATTGCGGATAATATTAGTCGCCGCTGTTGCACTCGTCTGTATAGGAATTGGGATTGGTGTCGGCGTGGCCATATCGCGTGCAACTAAAACGGGAGACTCGGAGGGCGATGCACCAGCATCCACCAAAACATCGTCGACAACGACTTCTCCCACTGCGACAACAGCCCCTAACCACCTGAACGTCCTCGCCGCTGTGCACGGCAATGGCATAGTGACGCCGGACGCAAAACAACTTGTCGATGCAGAGGGCAATATTGCTTTCGACAGCCATCCCTTCCCGTTTACAGATAATATGTATGTGACCTTCTTTTTTCCCTTGCCCATTTCCAAAATCAAGCCACTCCCGTTTTTTACAATTTTGAAATCCTCTCGTTGCCTAATATCATGACCTCCACCCCACTCCAGGTTCGGCTACAGGAAATGCTTCTCCCTCCTCCACCAACTCGGTTCCAATGGCGACGAGGATATGCGCATATTCCACGCCTGCGAAGGCACGGGATTTTATAAACTCGAAGCAGGCCCTATCTCAAAATCTAGGAATACAGAGCTAGTACCAAAATACGACGATTTGGAGCAGGATGGTTTTCGCATTATCAGCATCATATGGGGCGCGGGCGAACTGAGGGAAAGAAGTGTGCACGAGAAAGTGTTCAAGGCGGGGATGAACCGCGAGATGGTCACATTTACAAATGAGTTTTTCGGGCAGACGTCCCATCCAGGACCGGATGGAGGAATACCTCCTGGTGTGGTTTTTTATAGATCTGCACGGGATCGGCCCATACGGATTCTCTACTCGTTGGAAAATGGGACGAGGCCGTTTGATTTTAGTTGAAATTTGATTTGATTTTTTTATTTTTTTATTTATTTTTATTTATTTTTTGGTTTTTTCCTTTAAAGGCATGTATGGCTTAGAAGCGGGCGGAGCTGGTCCGTTTTGATACTTTTTTTTGCGTTCTTGTTAATAAGTTGTTTCTCCTTGGATCCAGATACCTTCAATGTATGCGCAGGCGCCTTACCTTCTTCTCCTCCCCTTCTTTTTCTTTTTTCTTTTTTCTTTTCATTTCATTATTCGGCGCTCATCATTCATGAAAACGCTTTTAGCCTGGTGAGAGGACTCTCTCTCATACATTAAACTTTAGCGGCTTGCACCTAATTAAGAGATTGAGAGGAGCTTTTGAATCGTCACTCGTTTTGGCCTTTGCGCCTCACCATCTCCCTCGTAGACCTTCCCCAAATGACAACGACCATCGTCTACCAGCAAGGCTCCGGCGGATGGACTCCCGCTTATTAGCCGCCCTTACATAGGGTGCATTAATTACACAACTACTTCTTGAACGGGTGTAGAGCACACCTTAGGAGAAATACGCAGCAAAACACCACGATTATCCGAGGCGGAAGACGGATGCGCAAAGATAGTCAGCCTCCTATGTACATACTTGTTCAACGGCGCTTAGCTAGACTCCATATAAGGTGCCTTGCAACAACCACCGCTCGCTCCGTCGGTGAACAAGGGCGTGGAAGGATGTCAATCAAATTTCTCCCTCTCGCGGTCACCAATTTTCTCTGCAAAGATTGTCCATGGGCTAAGTTACTCTCGTCTGCGGTAACCTGTGGCTATGGAGAGCCACTGTTGGGAAAGAGTGCCGCGAAGGGAAACGGGGTCCTCAGCACCGCTACTCTAGATCGTAAGCAGGAGTGAATCGTGAGAGTCCGACTCAATCAGGGAGTTGGGCTTTTGTACAGGCGACTCGAATGGCATAGAATTTACTTCGCGCAGCGGAAGAGGATTAAGAATCTTGTATAGCTACACTACTCCTCGCCCACGAACCTTATCAAGCAAGCAGATGTTCTGTTAGTGTTACATTTGCCTTAGGGACAATGGGGGTAAGTTAAATAAAGGGGAAGAGCTGAATATCAATTTGAAGAGGCCAAAGAGGAATAAGCTAGAATTGGGTACGGGAACAAGCAGTGTGTGCCTATCAAGTTCAGGGGCGCAAAATACCCCGAGACTCCCAAAATCCCAACGTGGCAAGAAAAGCAGAGCTCTTCTTTAAGCTCTTTTCGATTTATTGCATACATCTTTTATCGCATACATCTCGTCGCTCCGTTAAGTATGTATGTGTGTTACCTGTGTATTTACAAGCTCAAAGGAGTGAGCCTGGCTGAACAAAAAATTATTGTAATCATAGTCCCATCATTCCCGGAGGAGCGAAGGGGAAAGTAGAAACTGGACCAAGAATTGAAATGAAATACATATCGATTGAAGGGGAAATAGAAGATCTCTTAACTGGGGGGAAGGAACAAGTGTTGTCAACATCAACAAAAATTCTAAAGGTCCCCCTGTTTTTGGTCTCCCAGGAATGCCTATTGGGTTCATACTGGAATAACCATCTGAGTGCAAACAGCAATTGTTGGAAACAGGAATTAGAAGAAAAGAAAAAGAGGAGGAGGAGAAAAATGGGAAATAATTTCAGTCATTGATTCGGGAGATGTAACTCTACCAAGAAAACGCAAGGAATGATGGGGAAAAAAAATCCTTCACAAGAATGACAAGGAACTATCTGCATGAAAAGAATGTCCCGCTTATCTTGTTAACAGAGAAACAAACATTACAGGATAATAACCATCTCTAAATCTTATTTGTACACAGAAGAGCATGGAGAGAAGAAACTTGAATGTGGTTGAAAGAATTAAAAACATATACCATATATATATTACCATACATGTGCCATGCGCAAGTTGGCATTCTGTTTCATTTTCAATTCCAGCGATTAGCAAATCAGCATATCTGCATGTGCTGGCAGGTTAAGAATAGATCGTACGACAAGGGGAATCGACGGGGAGGGACGCCCGTTGAATTTTGGGCTGCGGATCGAAAAGCGAAAAAACAAAGTGGATTTTGTTCCCCCCTTTTAGCTCCGGCCGTATCTCGTCTTTCCGAACGTGAAGGGAACGTAGCGGTATTTAATCATGTGTTGTATTTGTCGTCGCACTAAACAGGCAAATGTCAGTGTCCGGAAATTTTGACATATGGGTCCAACACGAAGGAAATAGAAGGGAACTTGGTTTGATAACGTACTCGTAAGGGAGAATAGTAGCAACCAGTACACTACCAAGACGGGCCAGAAGACCGGGATATTGAAGATTTCCGACCAGGAGCAGAGGAACCCGATAGCAATTGCCCTGGTGGCTGAGTGCCAAAATTTGAACTCAGGGAGTCTTCGAATAAAAGGGCGGAACTCGTCGTCTTGTTTTGTGGGGAGAGAGCTCTCGCCATCCTCTAGGCCCTCGTCCTGCGTGAGAGATGGGTCGAACTTGGGTTGTAGGAAGGCAAGGAAGAGGTTGAGGAGATAGATTCCCAAAGTGTAGGCGACTGCGTGTTGATGAGTTATTAGTTTTAAATTGATTCCATGTGTGATTTAGGAGAGAAAGGCGTCGTCGCGCAAACGAGGGGGGAGAGTAAGTACCGATATACCAGCCCTGCGCCATGATAATTCTCAAGAAGAAGATAAGAAGCAGCATTCCGGTTCCTATCCATCGGTATGCGGTGTAAGGAGTTGCGGCATCGAGATATGCTTGGTATTGCTACATCACGACAAAACACCAACATCAGCTTCATTAAATAAAGCTAAAGGTGGACACAGGGATTCAAATTTCTAAATTATTAGACTGGAAAACCACATACCCGGGAAAGTCTTGAAGTATGCGTCGTCACGGCCGCAAAGGGCGTCTGGTCAGGGTCTGGGACATCCATGGCGCAAAATGAACACAAGAGGAATAAATAGACAATATCCGCACAAATCCGCCGAAGAAGAGATATCCAGCACAGATCAGGGCAGGTATCACGAATGCGCGCAGGAAGAAGGGTGGTTTAAAGAGAGGAGGAGAGCTGGACTGTGTTTCTGTGTTCTGGGATCGCCGTTTAAGTTGTTTGGATATCATATCTGTCCGAACAAATAGACGTGGCTGAAATTCGGATACTGTGCCACACTCACCAGCCACAATGAGCTGAATAAGCGCGGTATATCATGTGATAAATATATCGGCTGGCCTCGGCTCGGCAATGGCTCGTTCGGCGGAGGGAAGCAGAGAGATCTCTACAAACAACAACGCAACCACAACAATCACAGTCGCAGCAAAGAGTAGACAGGACATCCCTAGTATCCCAATTGCTTCCTTAATTGCATTATCCAATTAGACCCAGCTATACAATTGCTGCCCTCCAGAATATCTAAAATGTTTGCTGGACGATGCGAGCGGTTAGTTGCCCGCACGGCTGCGGTATCGTTGACATCATGTCTGAGGAGCAGCCGGCTCTATTCCACAGCTTCTCCAGCCTACGAACATATCCTCGTCTCAACCCCGAAACCAGGAGTTGGCCTCAGTATGCATTCTCAATATTCTCAGACACATCTCGAGTCCAAATTGAAGCAGTTTTGATTCGATGGTGGAACTGCGGCATTGGCAGTGGTAGTCTGTACACCCCAGCTAACCAGCAAAACCTGATATAGTCACCCTGAACAGACCAAAGGCTCTCAACGCCCTTTCCAGTCCGCTTTTTCGTGAGCTAAACGACGCTCTTACCAAGTATGACAAGGACAAGGACATCGGTGCCATTGTTCTCACCGGCAGTGAAAAGGCGTTCGCGGGTAATTCATCCCAGCCCTTCAAGAATATTATTCGAACCGTGATATGTTGACACAGATTATAGCTGGCGCGGATATCAAAGAGATGGCACCCCTCACTTTCTCATCTGCATACTCGAACAACTTCATTGCCCCCTGGTCCCACCTGGCAAATACAATCCGTACTCCTGTCATCGCTGCTGTGTCCGGATATGCTCTTGGAGGTGGATGCGAGCTTGCCATGATGTGCGATATCATTTACTGCACCTCCAAAGCAACATTCGGCCAGCCGGAGATCAAACTTGGAACCATTCCCGGTGCTGGTGGTTCTCAACGTCTCACAAGAGCCATTGGAAAGAGCAGGGCTATGGAGCTCATTCTGACCGGGAAGAACTTCAGTGGTAAGGAAGCTGGTGAGTGGGGTCTGGCTGCCCGGGTCATCGATGGGGGTAAAGATGAATTGGTTGAGGCTGCAGTCGAGACCGCTAGCGTCATTGCCAGCTACAGCCGTGTAGCAGTCGTCGCTGCGAAGGAGGTCGTCAACAAGAGTCAGGAATTGAACCTGAAGGAAGGTGTGGACTATGAAAGACGGCTGTTCCACGGACTGTTCGGCAGCAAGGATCAGAAGATCGGTATGAATATTTTAAGCCCTTTAATCCCCCGGTCACCCTTATTCCTTTTTATTTCAATTGCTAACAACCACTTTGCAGGAATGACCGCATTCGCCGAGAAGAAGAAGCCTGAGTGGTCGAACGAATAAATCCGCGTCGTATTTTCTTTTTTGTATATATAAATAGATATTTGGGCACTATCGTATATATCCTACCTGTCTAAATTATGTCAATGTACCTACAAGACGAACGAACATTTTCAACATTATAAAACATGTTTGCTCACATTTTTGCCGTCACTGGCAGAGTTTTTTTATTTTTATTGCTTTTCGGGTGAGCAATTTTGCGTCACACTATTACTGACTATAATTGACATGCAAAAGGGACTAACAAATATCCAACAATGAAATCCATACCTCCACTATCCAATTTGCAAGTACTTTTTACTTCTAGCTTATCCAATCCACCTCCCAGTTCGCCAGATTCCAACTTAGCGGACGCCAGACAACTTATCCTTGGCTTTCCGGAGGAGACCACCGCCGCCTATTTCCAGTCAGCAGTGATGCCTTAACCCCATGACGACAACATGCTGGACTCAAAAAACAGGGGAATTTTACCTGACTTGTCACCGTGTTCTTCCTGGGATGCCTGGCTATATTCGGAAGCCTCTGAGGACTGCGAACCGCGTTTCATCCCTGGTCCTTCCGCAGGCTTACCCTGCCATCCTTCAGACTCTGCTTCCTGGGATCCTAGTCCCTGGTTCCCGATGTTCTGGCTTCCTAAGCCCTGTTCGCGGATGCCTTGGCCTCCCAAGCCTTGGGTTCCCTGCTGGCGTTGACCCATTTGAGACGACATCGGTTGGGTGCTACGGCCCATTGTGGGCTGGCCGTATTGTTGACCAGCGGCACCGTAGCCCTCAGTGGGCTGCGCACCGTAGGTGCTAGAGGGGGGCATATTGCCCTGGCCAATTCCCTGGGAGCCCTGCATGCCCTGTATGTCGCCCTCCTGTGTGCCCTGAGTGGGCTGTAACGGGTTGTTCTGTGATGCTGCCTGCTGTGCGCGGCGAGCTGTGTTCCAGGTATCCTCGATTCCGGACATGATTGCGAATGGTATTTCTGAGGGTTTATTTACAAATTAAAAATGCCTGCGTATATATGTGACTTAGGCTTTGCTAATTCATTCTCTATTCGCCCAGCTGTCCGGATGGACGCGGCAGCTCCTTATATGTTCAATTACCTCCACCCCAATTTCGCCCCCCTTTCGCCCCCTTTCCACCCAGCTCGCCTTCCACTGTCAAGAGTACTTGGGGGCTAGTGAGGTCATAGGTTATTGCCTTGGGCATTTGACTTCATGGGTTTGTTGGCATTGTTAGTATTCTTGGACGTCAATCGGAGCTACTTCCGAAGCTTACTTCTCTCACTTACCGCTGGCAGTTGCAATGACAATGGGTTGTAGATCCAAGTACCAAACCCTGATGCCCAAATAAGGTATTTTTCCAACTCTTCCCTCCGGAGAACGCCCTCAACTGCTAGGTAGCTAGATTATCTTGGGAAAGTTTATCAAAGGTGTGAAGGCAAAACCTGGGGGCTTGAGGCAAGACGGATGACGACAGCTCAACTCTGTTAACTCTATTCCCCCAGAGCATTCGAGTAGGAAACATCAGGTTGGTTGACGCAGTTGACGAGCTGTGGTGATTTCGGAGCCAGTTTGGCCAAATAGGAACCTTCTCCAAATAAATATATAGTAGGAAATGCTAGTATTAGTAATTTTTCGACCATCGGCAAAAAAACTACAAATAGCAAGACACATATCTCTATATCAAAAGTGATACATTATAGCTCCTGCTATTGTTCTGTAAATAGCTAGGTAGCAGGCGGGCTTTAACTATGCGGGGAAGCTGTTTTAGAGCCGAATCACCCTCAGCATCCTCACGTCTCACTACATCAGCCAGCCAATATATCAAAAATGTAACTGCACAGGAAGAAAGCCCCCTGTGCTGAAACCTCCCTTCCCGACGATGACCACCAATCGGAGGGACAACAATGTGGATGAACGGGCAGCTAAATTGGAAATCCCGGACATGCGGTGACCCAGAGAAGGATTAGCCGCTTGTTCTTTATAAACAGTCGCTTGCGCCCTCTTCGACGGACTCCAATCTTAGTGGTTACTGAGACACTGCATTGTGAATGGATGGAAGTCGCCGTGATCGGTTTTGCGCAACTGTTTCAAAGGCTCGCTGTCATTTCCTCGGCCATAGCCTTTTCTACATAAATAGTACAATAGCAAGCCATCGAAGTCAGAATAGCGACACACGACAATTTTTAGCCTCGAATTTGTATCGTCCATCATTCAGCATGGGGAGCAGTATCCCATCTTGCATTCCTGGCGATGTCAGCTCTGCTATCTCAAAGCATCTCCAGAACCGCCAGGAGCTGATATTGCAGGAAAGAGGAAGCCGCAGCGGTTAGCTACTACACATTTGCCCAAAATCCATATGTGGGATTTTCTTTTGCCTTTTGAAAGCAAATCCGACGGCATCTCTCCTGATAGTTCTAACATTTGAAAATACGTAACGCTACAGATGCCGATTTTCGCCGCTCCCTATCACCAACAGCCCAAAAGGCCTGCGACATCGTTCAGCGCATCCGGCGAGAAGAACAGAACGCGACCTGGCGCCAAGCACAGTATGATAAGGACGATGAAGAATTGTATCCCGGGATGATGTTCATATTGGCAAAGGCGCGCATGGAGTCAACGAAGCTCTGGAAAATCGCCTGCAGGATGCCCAAAGGTGCCCTTCTTCATTGCCACATGGGAGCTATGGTGGATCTGGGCTGGCTCTACGAGAAAACGCTAGCAACACCTGGCATGCATTTTTATTCACCACTGCCACTGGATACTGAGAGTAATCGTAGCAAGGCCGCGGTGCAGTTTACTTACTCGAAGGCTGCACCGAAAGAGACTGCATCAGTCTGGACATCCGGATACCAGCCTGGTACGTTGATCGAAGCCAATGTTGCTGCGGATAGTTTCCCAGATGGCGGCCGGGAGGGATTTATCTCATGGCTTAAAGATCGGACGTCGATTATCGCGAAGGAGTCCATCGAGCATCATCTTGGGGTTGATGCTATCTGGAGGAAGTTTACGTCTGCGTTTATTATTTTGGGTTCGATTATATATTACGAGCCCATTCTACGTGCTTTTATACAGAAGTTACTCGAGACGATCGCGAACGATGGGGTGCAGTGGGTGGAGTTGAGAGATGCGTTTGTAGACCCATACCGACGCGAGAATGAGGATGTTCCTTCTGGAGATTTCAACGAGATGGTGCGTGCCATCGGCGAGGAGATCGAGAAGTTCAAGGCGACGAAGCGGGGTGAGAACTTTTGGGGAGGCCGCATTATCTGGACTGCACTGCGGCAGATGGGCACGGAGAATATTATTAAAAGTACGTTTTAAACTCTACTAAATTCTGCGGGCTGCAAGCCATTAACTAACTCCATGCGCTCGTCCACACAAGACATGCAAAACTGCATTCGTGCCAAAAAGGCACACCCGCATTTAATCGCCGGCTTCGACCTCGTCGGCCAAGAAGACATGGGACGCACGCTCAAAGACCTGACCCCGGAGTTACTATGGTTCCGACAAAGATGCGTCGAAGAAAAGTTGGAGATCCCCTTCTTTTTCCATGCAGGCGAGTGTCTGGGCGACGGTGATAGCACAGATGACAATCTCTATGATGCCATCCTGCTTGGGACCAGGCGCATCGGGCACGGCTTCTCACTATACAAACACCCCGTTTTGATCGACATGGTCAAGGAGAAGAAAATACTCATCGAATCATGCCCGATCTCAAATGAAGTGCTGAGATTGACGGCAACGGTCCTGGCTCACCCGCTTCCCGCGCTGCTGGCTCGGGGTGTCCCGGCGTCACTCAGCAACGATGACCCTGCCCTCCTGGGCCAGGGTACGTCGGGCATGTCTCATGACTTTTGGTCAGCGCTGCAAGGGTGGGAGAACCTCGGCCTGGCTGGGCTGGGATCGCTGGCAGAGAATAGTGTTCGCTGGGGCATATATGAAGATCAGACTGAGGAAGAGTGGCTGCGGGATATTGAGCGTGGTGCCGATGGGAGTGGGATCCGTGCCGAAAAGATGAAATGTTGGCAAAAGTCGTGGGAGAGATTTTGCCAATGGATTGTGGATGAATATGGGGATTAGCTGATCGCTCCGCGGTTGATTGTTTTGTTATTGTTGTTAATTGTTTGCTCATCTCTTATGAATTCGCGAACCAGTTCAGATACCACCTAGATTAGAGTTAACCCCTCTAGGGAGCTTTCAACGTTTGATCTTAGCTATACAGCCATCCACTGTGCCATATTGGACATCATCACTCCTTCAATATATAAATCTCCACGTCCAATGCCCGTCCTTTTGTCCTTTCCGTCTCACACGCCGCTCTATATTAAATTTGCTGAATCAAATGTCGAAACTGGAAAATAGTTCTCCGAATACAAGCGATAGAGAAATTTATTACCTGAGAAATATATGAACCCGCATATCTTCCTGGCTATTCCGTACTCTGACCTATAGAAAGAATTCCAAGGAGCTTCAGCTAATCTTGCGGCCGTAAAATGTTAAGAGCCCCTCCAACCAAATGTAGGCTCCCAGTTACAAGCACCTCCATCCCACCGTGTAGAGCACCCATCCGTTTGGCAAACTTAATTGCGCCCTCAATGGTAGGCTCACATGAAACTACACCCTGGGGGTTAAGTCCCTTCCATATTGAAGAATATAAATCGCAAAATTCAGGAAAAGATGGCTCGGCTAATTTAACAGTGCGGTCTGAAAAGCAAAGAAAGAGAAAGAAGGTTGGAAAAAGTTAGTCCGCATTTATTACATCAACAATGGCGGCGATGCAATCTCGACTTACCTTTTCCCATGGACCCGCCCTCGCTCTCCTGGTAGGTCGTGAAGATAACACAATCTGGTGCAGCGTTGTATTTGGAGAGGGAATGTGCTAAACCTTCCGCAAGAGCTGCTCCGTCGCGGCCTTCTGAAAAGTGGCTGAAGATCAGAACGCGGAACCTAAAACCAAACGTTGTGGTTTTGTGAGTTCAGCTGCCTAGCGCGTGAGGTGGAAAGAAAGATAAATCTACGTACTTTTGGCTATCGGGAGCATTGGTAGCATTTGAAAACCATTGCACCGCCTGTTCCAGGCTCATCATGTTGTGCGCTCCATCCAGGAACCATCGCGATATTCCGTCTTCGATAACTTCAAATCTCCCAGCCCATGAGAAAGTTTTGATACCTCTGGAGATGTCCTCTGCATCAATGGTGTCCTCGGGCGCCTTGAGCTTCAAAAAGGCTCTCGCGATTTCAAGGGCAAGAGAACAGTTCAGTCGCTGAACTGGAATATTGAGCACTCCACCGCCGTCAAAAAGGGCTTCATTGGTTGAGACGAAGGTCAAATCGACCCCTTTCTCTGCAGCGCGTTTGCTCAAAGCAACACTGGGACGATCCTCTTGTAATACAGAGAATGCAGGTGTGCCAGCTTTGAAAATTCCAGCTTTATGCCAAGCAATGTCCTCAATTGTAGGTCCCAGCTGGGAAATATGGTCCATACCAAGCGACGTGACCCCGGTTACAACTGGTTTTGGTATTACATTTGTGGCATCATACTCCCCACCATGGTGCGTCTCGAATATCGCTGCATCAACTTTTTCCTTGACAAACGTGTGGAAGGCCAATAAAGCCAGGAGTTGCAGATAACGTGGCAACCTGTCTATCTCTGCAGATACTAGCATTTCCCACACCTCGAAGAGATAGCGCGTGAACATATCTTCCGTTATTGGCTGATTATCAATCTGTATTCTCTCCCTGATACATCTCAAATGAGGGGAAGTATATAACCCGATCCGGCTTGGAAATCCCGTCCTCAAACCATGCGCATGGAGAAAAGAGCGAGTGAAAGCGCAGGTGCTGCCTTTCCCCTTTGTCCCGGCAACATGGACTATGTTCAACTTGTCAAGATCGCGGTCCTGAACCACTGGACTGGTAAGAACTCGCTCAGAGCATCACAGCTGCAAGGCCAGACACCATTTCTTACCGAGTGACCTAAAATCTGCAACCACTCGGACATTCCAGCTAGGCTTGGTGTGCCTCTTAGAACGTTATTACTGCTCGGCAAGGCCGCATTTTGCGAAGCTTGGGGTGCTGCAGCGGCTATCGGACGGCAAGGCCGCCGTCGCATCTCCAAGAGCTTGAGAGCATTCTGTGTCAAGTGTTAGATTTTCGGTCATAACAAATAGATTGGACAAATTACCTCGTAACTTCGTTTCATATTGGCCAAGACGGGTAAGGTACACAAATTCGAGATTGGCTGTTTGCTCCTCTGGGTGCGGGGGATACATTCGAGCCTTCTACCTTTTTGGAATTTTAATTACTATTGGCGCACCACACGCTCATCGTCCCCGGCTCTCCTTCCGCCAACGACCAGTAATAATTTATTCATTATTCGAGGGTTACAGTACTCCGTACTATCCTTGACTTCAAGAATGGATTTTGCGCAGCGATATTCTGGCAAGTTGCAACCCTTTCCTAAATAGGACTAGTACTGTTTTTTCCGCTATTGTTTTAACATGCACCGTCAATGATGTCCAACTAGCAGCGTAGAGTTGGTCTGATCAAATTGATCATTGCATGCTTGGAGAAACTGCTGTGCTCTTTTTTCCCGGTCAAGGAGACGTGAAGGAAACAAAAGAGAAAGCTTGTATCGAGGAGAAACTAGCCAGGTACAGACCCTTCCTTACCCATCAGCAACGCCGCCTCAGGAGCTCATGATACTACTATGATAGCAACGGTGTTCTCCAACTCAATCCGCTGAGTAAATCTCCTGAGGACACAAATGCAATGAGGCTCGTGTCTCAGTGATCGCAAACGTGTATTGCCAATTAGACCAGCCTATCTATCAGCTTCAGAAAGTTGATGCAGCCGAAGGTAGCTTTGATGAGAAAACTTTGAATGCCGCTACTCATCCCGCGTCAACGTTTTCTCCAGCTTCTCTGGAGCTTCAGCACAAGGCCTCACGCGCTTCGGTACGCTAGATTATAAAGTGTAACCAAAAGCATTCCAGGATCTAGGCTTCCAATGCGAGAGCTTCACCACCGAATCTCACTTGGAAGAAGTAGTCTTGCCGTGTTGGAGAGCAGGACAGGGATGATTTCATTGTTCTATTTTCCCGTCCCCTTGTGGATAATAAATGTACTGTCATTTTTGGAAGGACAGGATTTCCCGTCAATCTAGACACTCTGGTCTCAGACTTGCGGACCGAACTACAACTGATATAGTTGTTCGTGTTGAGTGCATAGTGCCCGGCTATTTGGGTTTTCATTTAGCCGTCTTCGTGCTTTGCAGATTCGATCAAACGTCACCTGCGGCTACAAACTCGTCTCGGAGGAATCACCCCAAAGAAATACACTGGACTGGACGTCCGTCGACGTTAAGCTAATCATTGGTCGCCAACCCAAGGAGCACCCAAATTGTGTGATGAGAGGTAGCCACTATCTTCCATCTAATACTCTCTGCTTTCCGGCTAGATGAGTTTTTGCCCAGCTGTTGTTAACTTAGCATCGGAGGCTTCTCTGTCTACAATTACCAACAAGCCAGCACGTTATTTAGGGAAGAAACTTGAGGGGTACTTTCGGGAGATGTCATTTTTAGTTTGAATATATGCAGCAAGGGATCCAGTCTTTTTTGGTAACTTCAGAGCTTGCCATCGATAGCAAACCTCGATATTCAATCTCCCAAACTGCAAAATGTCAAATATCCCATGTCATCCAGCAAATACATACAAAACAGCAACCTCCATCCCTTTTCCTCTCTCAGTTTTGCCTCGCAGGCCTGACCATTCCAAAGAGGGGTCTCCCCCCTTCTCCTCCATACTTGCTTGTTTCAAACGTAAATGAGTCAACATCTTCGAATCCAAACTTCTTTTACAAATTGTGAGCCTTCAGGCTTTACTCCAGCCACCCGGGGAGATTCTCCTTATCCGCAATGTCGACGCCATATTGTAACATTGCGGAGCCAGCACCAAGACCCTGGTGGGCGATTTCGGTCGCGAAACAACTGAGGACTTTTTGTGCTGTGAGAAGAAGGTCGCGTGTTTCCTCAGGAGATAAAATGGAGAGACGGACAAAATGTGCACAGCAGCGCAAATTGGACTCAACAGGCAGAATGGAGAAATCGCGGAAGAAGAAATCACAGCAAAATGGACACTTACAAGCATGTCTCTGCCCACGCATCCTATCCCGCATCTTAAAAATCTGTCTGAAGAAATCCTTACACGCATCCACATTCGCGCCAGTGGCCCATTCCTTCTTGTCCAGGTCCACTCTCTCAACAGCATTGCTGGACTCCTCGTCGAGATAGAAGTGCCATATGGCCATACCGACAATCGTATCGTCGCCCAGCACAGCTTTGATATAATGCGTCTTCCGGTCATTCTTCGCTATACCCTCCGCAAGCTCCTTGGCTCGGAATGTAAATCCTTCAGGGTTATGCGGTCCAAACAGGGGCCGAGTCACGGGGTCGTTGGAAAACGCATCCAATTCCACCCTGGCGAGGGCTGTAGCATCCTCCAGTTGTGCTGGGAGCGCTCTGATTGTCCGAGAAGTATTTGCCATTTTTTGTAGGATGATGTTATTGAATTCCTTGTCGCGTCCGTTTTGGCAAAATTTTTATAAGTCAACATCCTTGTGTACAAGTACCCCCAATCCGTGACACAGCATCTTGGTAATAGCTTTCCCGAAGAAAAAGAAAAGAAAGAAAGAAAGAAAGAAAGAAGAAAAAACTTCTAATTGTTCTTCTCGTTTTGTTCTTTGTCTATGAAGCTCTAAGCAGCTTTGTCATGAGAATCCTAGCCCCTCATCCACGCCTCTAGGCTTCAGCGGTTTTGGTTTTCTAATTTCAGAACAACCCAATGTTCGCCATTTGTGTCGAGTTAAGGATTCTAAAGTGTAACCTGTCATACAGCGGAGCGGGGAACGATTTCTAGCTACATATTCAAATATCTATGCAGTTAAATTCGGCCCAGCAATTTCATTAACCAAATGGAGGACATCATAATTAATATTTCAATATCTTAAACTCACAAGACCAGAGACCAGGATGGGGATACGCCAAAGTCCTGGCTACTGTTGTCCCCGCGCACAAATAAATACTACCTACCCTCTCATCCCCGCCACACAGCCTCAACCACAGCGAAGAACGTCTCCGAACTCGCGTTGACACGGACAACATCAAACCGCTCATCTGCAGCGCGGAAAATGTCCTTCCAACCATCAACCGCGCGTTCCTTTGTATTAAATAATGCCATCATTCTCACATCGGTTGCGGTGCCCATTTGCTGGATCGAGCGTGGCAACGCAGGTCCTTCCGTTTTATCGTGCTTGCCAATGTATTCTATGAGAAGAACTCGAGCACCGGGCTTCAATGCGGGAACCAACGCACGCAATATCTTCGCTGCCTCTTGGTCAGGCCAGTCGTGGAGAATCATTTTGATTATGTAAATATCAGCTTGGACCGGCTGCGGCTGGAAGAAGTCGTGTTCTACAAAGGACACGCGTGGCTTGAATTCCGATGGAAATTCTGTGTCGAACACAGGCTTGACTTTAGGCAGGTCCTGGACTATGATTTTGAGGTCTGGGAAGTTCCGTGCTAGTACTACCGCGTCGTGACCGGCGGAGCCACCCAACTAAATAGTTGATATCATGTTAGCTCCCTCTACGCAAACCTCGTCATAAACTAATATTCTAGCAATGCAAGACACAAAATACGAGAAAGAAACCAACTCACATCTACCACAGTTGCCTTTCCCGCCGCCTTCCAATCATGACATTGAAGCACCACTTCTTCAAGACGGAAAATTTCTTTCACATAACGCATAAACTCCGCAAAGTTCGCAGCTCGCCAACCTTTTTTCTCCCCCTCACCGTCATTTTCCAGGAACTCCCAGGGGTTACTATATTTCCCATATATTCCGCTCCTATGGAACAGAGCAAATGATGTCTCGTTCATTTCTTGGGTCAGCGCGGGCTTCCCGCGGCTGTATTTTGCTAGCGCTTCATTCATGACCATCATGGGGGCGCCTGAGTCATCCAGCACTGTAGAAACAAGGGCTCTTAACCCCGATGAACGGGCTAGCGCAGCAGAACGGGACGTGTGCTGCACGCGGGACGAGGGCTTTCCAGGCTCGGTCTCTGAGAATATCCGAAGCGTCATTGCGTGTTGTAAAAGGCGATAAACAACATCTTCGGGAAGAGATGTATGCTCTGCGATGTCGGCGTAAGAAGCAGTACCGTTGACAGGCACGGCAGACCAGAAATCGAAATAATTCATAGTATTGAGAGCGGCGGCATCGGGCATGGCCTATTTGAAGTTAGAATCATTTTGGACCGGGTATTAAGGGGAAATATGGCACTCGGGAACTCTAACAGTGTGAACATAGTTGAAAATACTCTCACTCGGACCCTGTGTCAGATACCACATATCATTTACTGCGTCAAGGAGCTTTTGTCGTATCAGGAAGCTTTCTGCCGTCAAGCCAACATAGCTAGGTGGGCTATCCGCAGCGAAAGTCGGTTCTGGAATATTCTTCTCCTGCAACAACTTAGTAAACGTCTCTGAAAGTTCGGTAATCTTGGCTGCGAGCCCATTGAGGGTTGGCTGTATCTCTGTCATTGTGATATAGGGACCGGAGCTGGGTAAGCGAAGTAACTATAACGGGGGAGAGAAGGGCGTAAATGTAACTTGTCATTCAGAGTGGCAGGAAAAAGGAACTGATGGTCGAGGGGACCGGGTCCTTTTTATTAGCCATTTCGAACTCATCATCATCGCATCTCCCGGCTACAGGGGGTTCCGCTCTCGGACATGCAAGCAGCATCATTCTGACTTGTATCGTATCGGGGAATCCTCGGAGGCCAAGCCCAGCGTTGTGGATAGCGCCCCCTGATCCAATCTTATCAATCAGATAAGTGGATCTTGGCAGGGCGCTAGAGCCGCTAGTGATAAAATCTAGATCTTATCAGATTGATTAGGCCCGGGACGTCAAACCTTAAGCATATTGTTCCGGGCCCGGCCACGAATCCTTCTCGTCATGAGCCCGCTGAACAAGGAATTGGCCAGGGACAGGTCCTGTTTGAGAGCAGGGTCGGTGGGCTGAGGGACAGTGTTCGCCTCGGTTAGCTATTTGCTACACCCACCCAAACCCTAGTAGATTGAGCAAGAGTTAGGGTATTATATCCCGCGATTTCAAGCACCCTTGTTCCACACTCTTTTTTCAATGGAGACTGTCCGTGATACATCCCCACTAGCTGTCTTGGACAGGTAATGGCCGAGTGGCGTGAGAATGCTCTCTCTCGTTCCTACCCCGCCAACCCCACCTCAAACCCTCAATGAGGGCATCTTACTGGATACTTACTGGATCTGGAAAGATTGGAAAGATGGGCCTGCGCTAGAATTAGACGGAAGAAAATGGACAATTCAACGGCGGCAGCACGACAAGGCGGAGCATATTCTGAAATACGTCGACACTGATACTGGAGACATTTGTCGGTATAGTTACCTGGGATATATTTTCGTTACCAGGTAAGGAGGACCCATGGGAGAAAACTTCTGGCATACCATACCATGGTTGGACGAGGAAAAGCAAAGATCCCGCTAATGGTAACGCTACCTAGTTCCGTTGGGGGGTTGAGCCTTAAGGATTGGGCCGAGAAGGGCTATCGGGAAACTTACTTGGCAAGACAATCGGAGCAAAAGCCGACAAATGGTACGAACATATTCGGATAATATATGGATACCCCTCACGTCCCCTTCCGTTTTTAAATCAGCATTAGTATGATACAATTGAATGGAAAATCTCCAAATAGCTGTGCGGTGGGATATTACAGGTAGTAGTGAATGTTTAATAAGGGTAGAAGATGTAAAAAGTTGTGACATGGATACTCTGACACCCGTTCCCCCTCCCATCCGCCGCTGGTAAGCGCCACTATTCTATACTATCACACCAAAGGAAGGGGGATGTTATTGTTTGAGACACTTGATTCTTCCCGAATGCCTGATCTCACATAAAATACACAGTATCGTTGAGTAATCTCCCTATCCTAGTTGGGAGATTGAGAGTGTCCTAATAATTTTCCTCATCGGTGTTGAGAGCAGTTCAGAGGTTACTAGGGCAATAAGGTCACTAAGCAATGCCCAGGGTTGAAGCACCAATTAAGTTAAATACTGTTAGCTCATTTAGTACATTGGTCCAAGATATCAAATAATTACTTTTCAAGATGAACATAGCCTCGGCGGGGAACGGCAATATTGGCATGTCGTCTGAAGTTAAGTCGAACGATCTTGAATGGGACGTATATATAGGGGCAACCAGCAACCAACTGCCCTGCCTCCAATAAAACAAGATTGTAATATGCAATAGATTCATGCATATATGAGACCGAGAAAACAAGAACCCAGAGTAAAAAAAAGGTGCCAAATCAGTCTGGCCAAGCCGATGCGAGGTAATTAAGTTGGAAATGGAAAATTAAGTCGACGGACCTCCATTCAATAAAAGAAACTAGCTCAAAAGCCATAAAACGAGATTTGTCGGTGAGGGGGGGAATATCGAATCCCTCCATCAATCATTAAGAAAACTTCATCTTCTGAGATTTCGAGACTGCCATCACGTCTAAATCTCAAGATCATCCATGCTAGTCGACGAGGAATTCGTCCTCTCCAGCGTCAAGGGTGAGGTGGTACATGAGATGGGATAGGGAACTGATATCTCCTTAGTCTTCTTACATATCCACGTTGACGCATACATATTTACTCTGCTCATTAACCGCCGTTAGTATCATCAACAGCCACGTGGGAATTTAAAATTGTTGCGGTAGCGAGTCGTTGACGAAACACTCACCGATCAATGCACGAGCCAGGAAATCTAGCACCAACGCGTCGTGCAGTGAAGCCATTCTCTTCGAAATTCTTGATATACCAAGGTTGAATCGAGGCTGAGCGAAGTAGGATTCGGCCACCCATTTTCAGGGAGTTATTGAGAGCCTGTGCCTGCTTCGACGCATCCTCTTTTGCCGGATCGAACCAATCCATTGAGTCCATCACCTATATAAGTACGTAAAATTAGTACTTCAGGAAATTTTACGGAATGGGTTTTCGTGGCACGCGATTCAAATAGCCAACTTACCACCGCGATCGTTAGAGTTCCTGGTGTGATTCTCTCAATTACCTCGTTGATCTCGTCAGTGTGGATTCGAAGCCCATCAAAGGCATTTGGTGTAGAGAGCTTCACGTGAGCTTTGGGAGTTAGGTAACTCGGATGGCATCTGTTTAATGTTTGGTTCAGTAATTTTGTTTCTCCATTTAGGCGTTATTCGTTGCGGGGATTCGTTCCTACCTTCTCGAATATCGCCCTTGTAGGCAAAGGTAATAGAAGTAGTTATCGTTGCTAATCAGAGTGTCCTTGACAACGGGATCCAAGGTATTTACAACATATTCCCAGATAGCCTTGCCGCTAACTTCGGTATCCTTTTTCACACCCCCAGCGAGCCCGCTTCGCTCCAGAAAATCAGTGATTATCATGTTCCTCTGCGCAGCCGGAACTCCAGCAGCTTTCCATGCGAACCATTCTGTACAAACCACGCCCCAATGTAGTGGCTTACTCATTAAAACACGGCGGATTCGGGGCCATATCTGGCGCTGTTCTTCCAATGTTTGCGCTTCGCAGAGCTTCTTCACTTCCCCTGAAAGTCCGAAAATTGTAAATAGGCAACGGACCATCTTTAGAGCGTATCTAGAACCTCCAGTCTCATATAGGCCCACACCAGACTGTGAGCTAATAGTATCGGAGTGATCCAACCAGTATTGGAATGCATGGCTAGACAAGTGAGGGCTGAGATGCGAAACCAGCAATTCTCTGAAGTTAGGATGTTTGCCCTCTCCAAATATCTTCCAGAAATCGCGGTAACCCAGCGCGGTATAACTCGCCACCTTCAACTCAAGCAGGTGGTTTTGGGTAGGATTAAGGTCGACCGCGTGTACTCTTCGGGGGTTATATTGTAAATAGTCGAGGATGTTGTCCCCCGCACTCGTTATTGCCAGGATAATATCGTCACTGCCAATATTTAATAAACGATGGTCCACGCGCGGATCCTCCCACGTGAATGCGTAGATATATTCATTCCCGAATTGGGTGTGTTTGGTTAACATTTCGTTATAATATATCCGCCAGTGGTGGTTTTGATAGAATGAGGAAGGCAGGGGCAAATTCGCACTTAGGTTGATGACGGCCGATTCGTAAGCTTTGGATCTGATTTCAGCAACCTGCCGCTCCATTGCTTTCGACACTTCTTGGCGGCGCTTTGCCGGAGAAAGGTAAGGGGATTCTGTGTAGGCTGCATCGAGTTTCTCAACTATTTCTTTGCTGCTAGGGTTTGGCTGGTTGTCATATATTTCCTTTTGGCATCCGATGAAAATATAGTATGGAATACCACCGAGAAGATAGTTCCTTGCGCTAGCCGATATCACTGTGCCAAATCGATATTCGAGATAATCCCTGCGAGCACCGTCTAGTCCAACGCGATCTGCATCAAACCACGCTCGCCAAAATGCTCTTCCGACCCAGTTTACATGTCGATTGAATACTCCACCAGTGTAGTTTCGAGACGTCAGGTCGACGATGCTTTGCACTAGCCAACTATTAAAAACCGAGTGTATGACTTGTGGTTTTAGCAACGTACCATAAAAGTCGCATACGCCAATGGTTCCGGAGGGGCTCAATAAAGATGTAGAAGAGTCCACAACACTGTAATAATCTAGGCATCCAGGAATATATCGGGTCAAAATTCGTTCCCTTTCACGGTAATGTTAGAATAGAAGATATACCGGGTATCATCGACAGGCTGTAGCTCATTGTCACTAGATCCGCCTTGCTAGTTTTTTCTGGATGTGACTTGCTATCAGAATTGACAAGCTCATCACCTGTGCGGTTCGGAAGGCGAAACTCCCGCGCATCTTGGCAGACAACGGAAACATTCTTCCAGCCAAGTCGTGTGAATCTCTGACGAGCGATCTCGCATAGTGAGGGTGAGAGGTCGACGAGGTAGACGTGAGCAAAAAAGGATTCCACGGGAAGAAAAGCTGCCATTGCCTCGATATTGTATCTAACTATTTTGTCAAAATGGAAGCTCGAATGTTAAACCAGGCAAACGAAATCGGACATACCCGGTACCTCCACCGACCTGGTTTGTCAGTAAATATTTCGCTAGATTTGACCATACTTCGTGACACAGTACTTACATCAACCCATATCGGCTTCTGTGATTGCCTCTGTTTCTTTCCCTGCTTGTACTTCAATTGCGCTGCTAATAGGCCCAGCATATCCTCACGGCCTCGAAGGAGTCGTTTCCGAGTTGCATCGTATACCGCAGCCTATTGCACAATTGAGATACACGAAAGCAAAGCAATGGGGGCGGTGAAGTCCCCCCCATACCTGAGTCTTGTAGAAACTCTCCAGAGCAAGCTGCTGGCCGCCTTCGCCGTAGGATTCATGTGGCTTCACAAAACTTGCATAGAAGAACTTTAGATAGGTGTAGATAGTGCTATCGTGTTTCAGCTTTGGTTTGCGCAAAACAAACAGAAGCACGGAAGAAACAACGGCGACGACAAACACTGCAGCAACTGCAGTCTGTAGGTGAGGAAGACCCCAGCCATTGCAGCCGGAGTCAGAGAAGGATGCCACTGTAGACATGCTTGATGTCTCTGGAGAAATCGGTTGAGATCTAACAGGAATGAGATGAGAAAAGAGATACAGCGTTCTCCCTCAACAGTGTATATATTGGGGAGGGGCACAGGTGTAGTTCTGACCCCTCATCTACGCGCCTCTCGATAACAATAGAACCTGATAACCGCGGTCCTATCAAGACCACACACATGGGGGTCAGGTTCCCCTGTTGCATTATTAGCGCACCGTGGCCCGTGTTGGTTCCAGATATGGCCCCGCCAGAGTGCTAAAATTGAGTAATATCGACACTCGGGCCATGGTTGACTTGTAGGTCCTATTCATGATTGTAGACAGAGTGTCGTAGCCTTCAATTCATCCATCGTGGAAATTGTACCGGAAATCACCCCACGTGGTTTTGGCAATCTTGGCCCTGATATCCAAACCCAACGGTGCCTGTCAATGAGAGCCTATATCGCCAACATGTGCGGGGCAAAGTCTTTTGAACATTGCATTTGGAAAAGTCTAGTGTTCTGCGGGTGAATGGCTCTACCGCAAGACACTGTATGTTCCATTGAACCGCCGCTTGAAGTGCGGACACAACCCCATCATCCTCGCTAGGTAGCTTGGAGAGGGACCGGACGGTGAGCTTCGGCCAATAAAAAGGCAGATATTTAACACGACACGATCTAGCTCTAGTATACATAACGCAGACGACCAGAAGGCCATATGGTTCCTCACTGTGGATCATTGTTTGGTGGCGCTTGGATTTGCAGCATCAGATAACCTCTTCTTTGCTCATTATTGTCCTCCATAGTTAGAATGCCTTCTACCGTCTCAATACAAGCCCCAGGCAAGAAGGTTAAACGCCCAAATATCAGTCTAACTCAATTGGGAGGATTAGTCAGTTATGACAAATCTTACCGGTTGACAGCTAGTACGGCAGTCTATAGTGACAAATGTGTCAAATGATTGTATTAGCAATCAAGATCTCCTCATTGGAGGTTGTATGAAATAATGACCCAACATCAGTGGAGGACTCTTGACCTGAGACAGTCTCCTACACAGTGTATATACTCAGAGTCTTCAGAGGAATCTATATTCAGGGGTCTCTATGCTCAGGGGTCTCTATACCCAGAGGCTCTATACACAGAGGTCCTCTAACCAGAGGGCCTCTATACCTTGCGGGCTCTATACACGGGGGCTCTATACCCAGGGGGTTCTATACACAGGGGAACTTATCTATATACCTGAGGGCCTCTATACCCAGGGGCCAGGGCGGGGGGCTCTATACACCTGAGAGGATGAGAGGCTCATAGTCGGAAAGCCAAGACTGACAAAACCATATGTAGTAATATACTAACTACATTAGGACTAGTGTAATTGGTGTGTGATTATAAAATCAGTATTATGTGGAATTAAGTAATGTAATATCTTCCAACATTTCCTCCTCTATACAGAGTCCTTATTAAATACTTAAGAGCAAACCATTTTCTGTTTATATTATATTTCTCAAACCTGTTTGCTGTTCCTGATTTCTCCGCCACTCCACACAACCAGCTGCTACTTAATTTAGTAGCTACCCCTTCAAATAACGAGATAAGTAGTCAATTAACAATCCAGAAACCATACCTCAACCTCAAAACCCATGTTCCCACGACTCTATTGTTCCTAGAACTGAGTCCCAGGAGCCAGCCAACCCAGGATCCCTCGCAAACTTCAGTTGCCATTCCATTTTTGAAAAAAAAAAAAAAAAGAAAAGAAAAGAAAAGAAAAAAGACGATCCCAACTGATCGAATGAGAAATATCAGCTTTCCAGGGTGGCCAGCAAGAAGGGAAGCCCGTATCGCTCTATTGTGAGATGACTACGGAGGAGGGAGGTGGGGAAAATAAAATCAGACAAAGAAACAGGAGAGAAACTCCTATACGATATTGCTATTCGATTCCTTTTACTGGGATGGATACTCATGTTGATGTGTTCTACGCTTCTCACACATGTCAATAATGGCCTGAAGTTGGCCTCAAGTTAGCCTCAAGTTGACCTAAGGGGATCGATTTATAGGCCCTTTTTTTCCCGAGAAATATCATAGTTTATTACGTGCAACCTACTACCTAAGTATCCATCCAGGTGCTCATTTACTCTGCGATATTGGTATAGGGCGTCTTATCCAAAAGAAACAAAGAACCGTGCGTTGGCTGGAAAAAAGTCAATGGTGAAGTACGTGTACATATATATGCCGAAATTATAGATATGCGCTGTACTATATATGAATGCTTCGAGAGGAGTGAGAAGAGAGAAACTGAAGAGGCCCAAAAAATGTCGCACCTACATACCCAACCACATAAAAGGGGCTCCGAACACCTAATCCAAGAAAAGGAAAAGAAAAGAAGGCAAGCAACCGAGTTCAACACGCGGCTGGAGTATGGCCTACCTCACGATAACATGTAAATCGGAGAGGGGTTCGCTGCGGAATCTTGGGAATATTTTGCATCACAGATGTTATCAAATCAGGGCGGCGTTTGGCTAGTGAAAGCTGAAAAGCATTGTACTACAATGCTCAGATTCCCAATTTGCTCGTTAAACCCAGCGTAATCATCCTCTCAAGGCGTCCTTGAGCCTTGGATCTTCGGTGAAAAATGGGATTTTAACCTTCAGGGACGGTCATCTGCTATCGAGAAGGGGAGATGTTCAATTCGACCTTCTCATTCTTTAGCAACGTGGAGGCGATCTCCAGATATAGGCCGAGGAATTCCAATGGTCAGTCATGCGCCTCATTTCACATCTAGTATTCGGTTTGATTTTATTGATCATCACGTAATGTCCTCCCTTCCAGCTCAATCCTCCTCTGACGATGAATCTAAACACGCAGAAGACCCATCCGGTGGCTGCGATTCACCTGTAGGAGTTCCTTTTCCGTATAACTTAAGGGAGTTATTCGTCCCCACGACTGCCCAAGCAAGGACCGCGACGTCACGGATGGTATCCATCAGCTCCCCCTTTTCAGACCCAGTGGGGGAGCGTGGTATTGGCAATGGTTGCTGGCCGCCGGGGTTGCACTGTAGCGCTGAGACTGTAGAATCAGTGGCCCAAGGAGATGCGAAGAGGCAATTTTTGCGTGGACTGGGTAGCCGGGTTTTTCAAAAGGCGGTGGAATAGGTGCAAGTGCGCGCCGCAGTATAACTACCAGGCCGTCGGAGGAACAGGATACTACTGCTTCAACTTCTATTCGTTGCCCGTTATTGTTGGTGGTGGTGGTGGTGCGCGGTTGGATGTTGGTCCTTGACCGTGATAAGTCGGTGTTCGTTGTGATATTGCATTTATCCAAGGGATTTTGTGAGTCCAGGCAATCTTCATACTGCATTTCATCGTCATCCTCCTCCTCGTCTTGGTCTTGGCATTCGCTTCCATAGCCGGTGCGGTCTCCCGTGCCATTGTCATCTTGCAATGGATTTCGAAAGCAGAACCGGAGATACGCAACCGTATCATTCGACTTCGCACTTTCAATACATCTAACCGCCCCATGCAAACAACATTCCTCTATGCAATAGTAAAAACTCTTGGAAACGAGATCCGCGGGTCTCAATCCAAGGACATTGGCTACACCTCTTGTCGCGTAGATAATGTTTGAAGATCTGGTAAATCGGTTTAGGAATAAGGCCGCGCGCGGTTCATGAGACGGGCTCCGCGGGACTCGTGAAAATTTGCTCGAAATGTATGCAAGCATATTATATCGTGGATCGAACTGTGATTGGGAGAATAACCGCCTGACAACTGGAGCGTCGGTTGCCCTCTCTTTTTGTGTGTCCAATTTTCAGTTTCCATGGCATGCCTCGAAACATATGTCCTACAAAGATAATCCAGGGCATGTATCTACTCACTTTGATGACTCCTTGATCCCCTCTTGTAGATGCTAGTACTTGCTACTAAAACATCATAAACCACGTTAAACACGCATTCAACCCCAACCCAGTAACCAAGCTGATGCTTGATCTGGAAATAACTCAACCCAGCGGCCATGTCGTGACTGACACTCTGGGAATGGATCTGCCTTGCGAACGAGAGCTCATCCGGATGGAGGAAATCCCATAGGGATTTATTAACCACTTCATTGGAGTCGTAGCCGAGTATATCCTCAATGGAACCAGAGGTATATTTTATACAAGCAGCCGGCGTCAGATCTAGAGTTAAATGTCAGTCATACATATCTACAACATGTTCAAGGACAGAGGAAATTGAAATTGAACGGAAGGTAAGAACTTGCCGAGAATTGAGATAAATGTAATTTCCATACTGGCCGATTGAAATAAAGACAAATGGTCGAAATCGCAGGGTGTGTTCACAAAGCGACGGGCACACGGCCTTGAAGCGAATACCCCACAATTACTGAATCGAAACGCTCGCCCAACTCTGATTTGATATATTTGACCTCCTCCTTTTGGGCAAACTGTTATTTATCTCTAAAGGGCCCGCGGAAGCAAATTCCCGTCGGCCAAAAGAACTCTGATGTCTCGGAATTTCTGATCTATCCATGGAGTTAGCAAGGAATTGATAAATCCAGTGCATACAGCCGAGGTAGGGTCTGGAGTCTAGGGTTTTCGGGGTTCCTGGGGCTCGAACTTTGCATGAAACACAATACCCCTAACAGTAATAATAAGTAGTAAATAAAATTGGGTTCCTTTTTCTCAAAGTCGACAATCGGCAAAGAGGGCATGGAGCCTTGAAGTAGTATGTTGCAGCCTATTTCATACTTTTTGCTACGCTTCTTCAGAGAGCAGAGCAGTCGGATAGTGGAGGGATGACTGAAGAAATGGGCACTGCATAAAAGTTAAATAAGAAATCCAATACAAGGGAAGAGATTGTCCAAGAAACAATAGTGCGCCCTTCCCAACGCCCATGAACCAGCTATATTAAACATATTGAACTCCCGCCTGGTGCCGCACGCACAGAGAAAACCAAAAACACGAACCTCTCCCTTCCCCTTCTTCACCCCAAAGCAAGGGCGTCAGTTACTGGTTCACAGTCGGGGGCTCTCACATCCCAAAAGAGCAATGATTTAATCTTGCATGTGGCCCCATGAGATGCATTAGGCCCGTCTTAGCATCTTATAGTGTGTTAGATGGGATGATAGGCCTGGGGCGATCCCCTATGCGGGTTAGGCGATTGACAGCGATCACCAGGCATCCAGGGACCAGGAGAAGCGGGGCTGCAGCTGCAGTTGTTGGAGGACAATTATGCACTCTCTTCCTTCAGCTAATTGTGATAGGCGGGGTTGAGGAATCCCCTTTGATTGACTGCAAAAAGGTTTTGAATACATTATTGGGTCGGGAACAGTAGTTACCAAGTTGTCTTCTTCGCCTGGTTGTCACACACAAACAACTACACGGCAAATAATCATCCAGTTTCTTCTCTCAATCAATGATAAGTCAAACTGCCAGGGTCAAACTCACTGTCAAAAGCCTCCATAGGGGGACCTAACATTCACATTCAATTGATTCCAAAGCAGGCACCGCATAGCGCTTACAAAAACCCTCCTCTCGTCCTAAACCTCGCGTCAAAATCGCAAGTGGAGATCATATCACATGGCAGTTGGCGCCAAAAACAGCGATTTGTGGAGTCTAGACAGCGCTAGAACCGAGCTATAGGAAAGCTATCCCCAGCTGAGCTGTGCACCCAGAGGTGGGGAATTTCTCAGCTCTCCAAATCAACGCCTGTAGAGAGCTTCGTTGAGCTCTCTCACAATTTCAACCAATCACTAGCCGCTTAGAGAGGTAGACGAATTTGCTCAGGACCTGCTCGAGCACCAGCACATAAATTCCGCGTTCTTGCTCAACCCCCTGACAAACGCTATCCCCATCACTCCTCCCACGTCTTTTGTCTCAGAGTTGGGTTAAGACTGACGCCAGCCGTTTGCTCTCTAACATCAGTTGAACGATCCTACAATATTGATCTTGGCTCTGGGTTCGTCGGTCGTCGCCTTTCAGCCAAAACATTTGAGCGTAGGGTGATTTCCTCTGCTACTTTGTTTGTTAAAACAGGGGGGGCGCCTGTCATCCAGCCCGTTTGTAGATCCCAGGCTCAGTACAGATTAGTAGCTGTTGTATCTTCTGTGTCTCCGTAGTATACACGAAGTGTTGGAAAAACAAGAATTCTTTGCCTTTGTTCTGTGTTGAATTTTTGGGCTTCTTTTTCTCCCTTTTCTCTTTCTGCAGTTGTTAATCAGGCATAGCCAAAATACTAAAAATTAATTATGAAAACTATTGAATGGCAGTAGTCAAGCAAAGCGCGTATGTGCAAATAATATTAAAATGAATGGATGTCCGAAATCAGGCGTTTATGATGATGGTATCTAGTTGACAATGTGTAGTCCGTCCACAATTCTAAAGCATAAAATTCAAGGGTAGATCCAAGTTCTCCAAACTCCGGGAAGGGCAAAAACGATGCCAGTAACGTCGGCCAAATAAGCCACGATATGCCAATATATAAACTCCCGCTCACCCTCGAGATAATATGCCTCGAGATAAATAGGTTCCAAACGTAAAATCGACACTAAATTGACAATGCTCGAAAAATCAAACTAAAGAGAGCGCAAAGGGAAACGAGTTAGCAAAATAACAATTGGATGGATATGTCAGTTCATATCGGCATGACTAGAATTGGGTTCTTGCTTCTGATGCCAAGGATTCCAATTACTGCACCCAAAAAGCCGGTCTCCCTTCGCCCAGCGCTGCCCACGACGTGGGAGGCTTCGCGTGAGAGAAGGTGGGCATAGGGTCACTTGGAGTTAAGGGCCAAGACAGATCAGTCCAAAAAATATGCTTGACGTACATGTATGGCCGGAGGGCGAGGAAGTGGCGCTAGGGGATGTGGTCTCGGGCGAGGATGTGATGGGATGGCTTGGGGATTCCGTTGTGGTTGAGTCATAACAGCCCCAGAACCAGCCCGGAGTCTCACAAGAACTTGTGGTTGTGGGTGTCGTGGTTGGATCAGGGGAGCTCGTAGTGCTCGTAGGGTCTTTACACCCAAACCAGCCAGGCGTTTCGCAGGATGAAGTAGTGGAAGCAGTAGTCGTTGGAGGGGAGGTTGGAGTTATGGTAGGCGCAGGTGACGCAGTAGGTACTGTGCTCGTTGTCGTAGGGTCTTTGCAGCCAAACCACCCTGGAGTTTTGCAAGTAGATGTCGTGGTGATCGCAGTGGATGTTGTAGCTGTTGTCGTTGCAGTCGTTGTTGGATCCAAGCATCCCCACCATCCAGGCGTCTTGCAAGTTGACGATCTCGTTCTAGTTGCAGTGCTTATTCGAGTACTAGTCGACGTAGGCTCGGTACCATTGCTTTCGAAAAACTTCCAGTTGTTACAGTCCACGCATTCTGTAAAAGGGGCACATTCAGGGACGGTATCGTACTTCTCGATAACATCTGCAATCACGGAACGAATTCGGTGGGTTCCAATTCCAACTCTCCAGCCTAAATCTTCCACTGTGTCGTAAGTGCACAATTGGCCGGTATGACAAAATGTCTGCATAGCATATCCACCAAGTGTACACACAGAAGTTGCGCCGTTACACGTTCCCATATAAACAGGGTCCGCGGTATGGCCAAAGTGGTAGGCACCAGTGTAATTCCTCTTCTGGGGCGAAGAAGGATCAATTCCAGGAGGGGAAGGCAGTCCAAGGCGAGAAGCAGGTAGAGCCTCTGGCACGGCTTCAAACGTGACCACTGGTAGCCCATATGTCATCCCAAGCATGCTTGAAACGGAACCACCCAGAGAGTGGCCCGCAAGCCAGATATTAGAATTGGGATAAATTTCGGTGACGTTGGCGTAAAGATCGAGGGCAGCTCGATAATAACGGTTTTCTGCTCTCAGTGCTTTCCTTACACAAGTTGCATTACATGTATATGTTGACGTATAACAGTCGCAAACTTGTCGCCAGAAGTATTGTCCACCTTGGGCACAGCAACAGCTGAAAAATAAGTTGTCGTTAACCTTGTCATTGGTTGTAGTCTCTTCGCCATCGAAGAGAGCCGCGGATGTGCCCTTCAAAGCAACTATTATTGTAGAATTCGATTTATCCGCGTAGATATGGCCTCTCAGCCCATCACTTTCCCATCCGAAACTGTCTGAGTGGTTGTAACGCGAGTCAACATCAGCCCACTGTTCTGTTCCTGGCAACATGATATAGGCGTTGGCTGCCATTCGAGCTAACGAAAGAACTGTCTCTTTATCCGTAACATCAGGAGCATCCACCTCGTCCAAGGTCCAATAATCTGATGAGAGTGCTACTGGGGAGCTTGTCAGTCTCGCGGTTAAGAGGTGGTCTTCAATAACGGAAACCCGGCGGTCGGCAAGACGCTGGATATTAACAGCCCTTGAAGAAGCACGGAGACGAGGAACGGGTTCCCGTCCTTCACCATCTTCTGAGGCAACCCATAGCTCAGCATCAGGCTTGATATCAAGCCGCTTATGTAGGAGGGGGTATCGGTAGGTTCCGTGATGGAAGATATGTCGCAATGACTAGGGTAAAGTAGGCAAGATTAGCGAGATTTCGACTTAGAAATATGACTACTGCTACAAGTACTCACAAATTCATGATCTGTGTCAACAGGTTGAGGCCCTGGGAGAGGAATTTGAGGCTGTATAAAGGGATTCTGAGCAGAGACAATGCTGGGTAAGGGCGATATTGCTAGTAATGACACTAGAACATCAAACCCCATGAGAGTGGACCCAGATGACCGTTTCTTTCTTTTCCATCTAGATGGTTGCATATTGTAAATAAATATCGAGGATAAATAGGGGTCTGTTCGACCAAGTGTGTTGCTGTGGGCCATACAGAGCTGGCTGTTCACCCAAACGGAAGCGTTGGGGAGGTTGACGTTTGATGGGTGGCAGTGCGATGACGCTGTTGGCGCTGATAAGTCACGGGCGATATGCGGATGGCGACACAGACCAGCAGCGCTTATTAGTCATGTGACCTTCCCTGTGACCTGCCCCGTGACCTGCAACTGTCCTCAGACACCACCAACTTATCCAAACCCCTCAACACTTGTCACACTCGTTGCGCCCGAGTAGTACACGTTGTGATTACTTTTGGGTTACGTCAGGCATCAGCGGGCGATGCTGTGCGCTTATGATATCATCTAATGACAACCGCGCTCTCCTCACCTCTGCTGCCACCAACCAGCTAGCTCTACCTCCTCCCGTTGTAAGAGTTGGCACCTTGGGATCTACCCTGCTTCTTGATGCGCTCACTATGGCATTGTGATTCCCAAACTCATCGGAGAGAATTATTCTGGAGTCCCCACCAGTTCATAATACATGTAACCGGGCGCAATGTCCGCTGAATCTACTCCACGCCCAACCGGGCCCCAGATCTCGAAGTCGTTCTCCCGCATGGAGGACGCATCACCCAATTCGTTTCCTCGGAACCGTGCAAAAACAGTTCACGGGATTGTAACGCAGGAGGTAGCCCCAGAGAATTCTCCTCTTATGTATATGGACCCGGACTCTGTAGATGGGGAAGCGGACCTCTTTGCGAAAACAGAATCCCTGGGGTCAGACGAGGCTTTCCTACTGGAAAAGTCCGATCCCAATTATTTGCAATTGCAATACATGACAGACCACTTTGAGCTCCCTATAGAGCTAGTTAGTTTGACTGATAGGTTGGTGATCCATCTTCAAATCCCGAAGCTACTCATGCTAACAGTCGCTCATTCAGGTTTATTGCCTCTCTCAGCGCGAAAGTGTACTCTACCCCACCCTCTATAGATAGACTTTCAGACCTCTTTCAAGACTTTTATGTGCGTGCCGCTGCACATATATCGACCCACATTTCGACTCTAGCCTCCCGTCTGAACCGCCAGCCGTTACCTTCTCCTTCACAGACTCAGATTTCCGGAAAGGCTCAACGAGATCCCTTGTCAAGTTCGCCCGGTCATAAAGACAGCCAAAAGGGCTCTGAAAAACTTACTACTGACCAGCAAATGCTGACTGCGGAGGAGGTGGCGGAAAAGCGGAGAGCCCGCAAGATTTTGCAGTACAAGGGCCATGCCCTCGAGGAAGCGGTCGAGCGACGGGCGTGCGAGGCTGTATACGAGAAGATCTGGCGGCACAAAAATTCTTTGGATGAAGTCAGAGATGAGAAGCTGCGTTCCAAAACAGCGACATTAGCACTTGTTGGTATTGGACTGAAGGACCTAGGAATCGAGACTTGGGATCTGAACGAAGAAGGCTCTGAGCCGTCAAAATTCCTAAGTTCTGCCCGAGAAAGCTTAATTAAGATGAACGACGAAAAATTCCCGTTAGGCAAACTCCATCATCTGACTGCTGCCCACAAGGCTATTGTTGATACACTGACAATAGTTCTTCCATCATCCTCCTCCGCTGATGAAATCCTACCGACCTTGATATACACCCTAATAACCACACCCGCAGAAGGCATCAACATCATTAGTAACCTGCTGTTCATTCAGCGCTTTAGAGCGTCTAGTAGACTCGATGGTGAAGCGGCATACTGCCTGACTAACCTAGAAGCAGCCATTAGTTTTCTAGAGAATGTGGACTTAAACAGCTTACAAACAGACCGGACAGAAAATAGCATGGCAAACTCTCCTAGGAGTGTTTCTAATCCTGCATCTTTGCGACCTGATGCGCCAACAACTAAAAGCTCTGCTACCGTTTTGGGTTCTTCGGCGTCCTCTGAAACGTTATCTGAAATTGGACAATCAGACCCAGGGTGGCGCTTGGCATCAAATGAAGGCATACCAAAGCCTCGTGCAGCTGATCCTTCGCCACAGCGACGTCTAACTGACCTCCTTCAACCTTCAGCTAAAGTGCTTGGTGCCGCCAATGATGCTGTTCGAAACACAGCTGATCAGGGGTTCAAAAATATCAGCAGCACACTCGATCATAGCTTCAACTTCCTCTTTGGCCGCTTGAGGGAAGTTCAAATTAAACAAAGTGGGGAGCCAAATGGGATGTCTACGATTTTGCCAAAAACACTAGATGACGCTCGACGGTTGGTTACCACCTCGCCAATCATCGACGACGAGAACGATCGCAATATGAAGGCGGAAGATAGACTCATCGGGCTTATCGGGGGCCGAAAAACATCCAGACAAAACAGCGCTGGTAGTTCAGGGAACAGCGGCAGTGGATTAAAGGCCGTTGCAACCAGTGCAGAAACTTCTGCTCCGACTGCAGCTAGTTCCGGGTCTATTTTCTCCAACCCCGCACACCAAATAACACAGACTCCGCCATTTGGCTCAATGAAGAGTTTCGGCAATACCCTAAACCCCTTAAACCACATTCCAGGTATGATCCGCGGGTTCGGACGAAGCACACCAGACCCATCTCTGGACACCGTATTATCCACAGACAACTCGAAACCATCGGACTCCATATCCAGCCGTTCCAGCACTCCCATACCACACAAGAACACCACGAGCACGAGCATCAACGCCACCGAATTTAAACCTCCAATCAAGCGGTTCTTGGAAATGCCAGATGCTGGAGATCTTAAGATGAGCGATATCCCTGAGCTGCTGGAGGATTATAAGCGGCTTGCGCTGTTTTTGAAGGAACACGGGACTTCCCAATAACCTCCTTTTCCCTTTTTATTTTTATTTTTTTCTTTATTTTTTCCTGTCATCCAGTCCGGGACTCTTTGGTTATTCAAGCAGCTCTAGCCTATTTTTATTATTATTTTGCAAAGTATTGCATTGATACCCATATCTCCGACCAACGACGATACACTTCTTTTGATCAGCCATTGCCCGTCCCATTTGGCCTGGTGCCCCTTGTTTTCCTTCACTTATATGTTTTATCACCGTTTAGGGGGGCTTTTCGTCAAAGTTTCTGGTTGCAATTTTAGGGGCTGTATATCTCGGTGTATTGTTTATATTTATATACATGCTTTTGCGTAGGTTTGGGATGCGGTACAGGCCTGAAGACATCCAAGAAAACAACGGCCAGTGAATCGGGCACAAAGAGTATAGATTATATATGGAAATCGGCACGTATTGAATTAAAATGTTCCCTTCTTTTCCTTTTCTCTCTCTTTTCATGTCTGTGTCTCTCCCCTTCGTTCAACTTGACTAACAGCTCCATCTTTCTCTAATAAGCAGCAAATCCCTAACTACCCGCGGCCCCTTCTGCTCCCTCAAAATTATCCGTCCATCGGATTCTCCTTAATTTAACCCTTTCGCGAACCTCCTTAAATCGGGAAGCACAATTAAGTTAAAACAATCATTTTACAGATCGCGTACGTTGCCAAACCAAAAACACTTCAGAGTTAACAGTCTCATTCTTCTAGACAGTGTATAATAGCTAGAAGTGTCTTATCATAGATCTTATAATTGCATTCAGCAGAACTCAGTTTCTTAGACATGAAGACACATGATTATAGAACATCTTCATCATCATATTATAATATCACTTCTTCTGTCACATAGTCAGAGAAATCAGCTTCAACAACTGTCTATAATCAGAATCAAATATTATCAGTAGAGAAGTATTAATGAACATCTTCTTTATCTG